CCTGTCACCCCCCCTGACCCTGCCACCCCACCTATCACCCCATCTCACCCTGCCACCCCACTTGTCACCCCCATCTCACCCTGCCACTTCACCCTGTCACCCCCTCACCCTGCCACCTCACCCTGTCACCCCATCTCATCCTGTCACCTCTCTCTCACACTGCCACCCCGCCACTCATCCTGTCATCCCCCTTCCAGCCAACCTCTCACCCTGCCACCTTGCCCTGTCATTCCCCTCTCACTCTGCCACCCTACCTGTCACACCCTGTCACCTCCCTCTCACCCTGTCACCCCACCTCTCATTCTGTCATCCTCCTTCCACCCCACCTGTCATCCCTCACTCCCCCTCACCCTGTCACCCCCTCTCACCCTGCCACCCCACCTGTCACCACCTCTCACCCTGCTACCTCACCTGTCACCCCCTCACTATCACCCCACCTCTTACTGTGTCACCCACCCTTTGACCCCCCACCCTGTCACTCCCCACACACCATCACCCCACTTCACACTGTCACCCCCTAATACTGTCACCTCCTCTCACTCTGTCACCCCCCTCTCACCCTATCACCCCCCCTACACTATGTCACCCTCCCTCACACTAGGTCTCCCCCCTCTGTCACACCCCTTACACGAATGTCACCCCCCTCACTCTGTCACCCCCCACTGTGCCACCCCCTCACACTATGCCACTCCCTACACTATGTCACCCCCACACACTCTGTCACCTCTCTCCGCACACACTGTCACCCCCCTCCATACACACTGTCACCCCCTCCATACACACTATCTCTCCCTCTAAACACACGGGCACCACTCTCCGCACTCTGGCACCCTCCTGCTCTTTTTACAATCACCCTGCCACAGTTACTCCTTTACTCACCCTGTCACCCCCTGAAGGCAATCATTCTACACACTGTCATAAAACATAGCTTCGCCATGAACTTAATGCCAAAGGCCACAGGCAGTAACACAAACATACACATGCTCTGATAAACATGCATACATATACAAAGATACTCACTGCCAGACACACACTCTCAGGCACACACAGGTAGACAATGCAACAACGTATACAAAGACTAGTTCTCTATATCCAGTACTGCAAGCCCGCCCTTCAATATATCTACAGCTTCTTATACACACACAAGTCAACTGCTGTTTTTTTCCAATAATGGTGTTAGTGGGGGCCTCATGTATGAGTTTCGCCTAAGGCCTCGCCAAGTCTAGAGCCGCCACTGAACGTTGTACAGTAAACTTTTCGTGGCTGGTCAGATATGAATGTACATTGTTAAGAGTTAAAGAGTAAGACATGAAATACAAAATGAGAGAAGGAAAAGAGAGAAAAAGAAAATGGATAGAAAGATCAGGAAAGACAAAGAGTGAAAGGGAAGAGAAGAAAAATCAGGGTGTCTAAACACACGGCGGGGCACCAGAGGGTGGGAGGAAGGCAAACCCACGAAGACCCCTCTGGCACCTAAGTGCTCAGTGGGCTATCATCCCACGGCTCCCACAGCTTCTGGAACGCCCCCTGGTTCCCCTAACCCTAGCAG